TAGAAGATGTAAGCAAATAAGAACTATAAAACCCAATGACTGAAAACCTGAAATTTAGATGCTAATGACTCTATTTAGTATTCATACAGAGCTACTTAGGAGTTTGCCAGCTGTATCCTGTGTGAGTACTGTTGGCACTTCCGTGCTTCACGATTCCAATGTGTATTATGTTTAGTCAAACATGGCTCTCACTCCAAGTTAGCAAAACTCTTGACTCATACAACTTTCAAATAAATTTAGGTGGAACTGGTACACCTCTACTTCTCACAGCACAGGGGTTGATACATGACAGTAATGAATCACATTATACTGGTTCACATTTTCATGTGGTTAGAAGGAGAAACAAACCCTTATTCCAGTGATTTTGCAAATTCTGCATAGTCAATGTATCCGTCATTGTTCTTGTCATCATCTCTCAAGACATCATCAATTAGACTAATCAGCTCTTCTTCCTTCATTGCTTGGGTATGTTCACCACCTTCCTACAAAAACAAAACCACAGTGAACAGTTTAGCAGTCTCTCTCATCTAGTAGCACCTGTGACAGATTACTGACAACTAATTTTTTACAAAGCTGCTCATGTTTGGTGCCTAATTTGGCACTAAGTTTTATGTAATCATTTATAATAATGTAAGCAAATTTCATCAAATGGAAGGTTTGAAGTCAAAGTTCTTGGATTCAGAACAAGCATTCTGCAGTCAACATTCTTGGTCAGAAGTTCCAAAAGCTGAATACCACAATGTATAATGATGGGCAATCATCTAATAAATGTATTCTTAATTAGGAACTTGATGTAGTATAGGCACTGTAGTTTCTATACACTACAGAAACACCTTAGAGTAACACAGAAGTGAAAAAATTCAGCACTGTAGCTTAAAGTCAGTAAAATACTTAGTAACACTCCTTATGGGAACACAAAGAGGTGCCTTTGCACAAGAAACAGCCACTCATATTCTGTTCTTGGCTCAGTATTTTTTGCCACAGGTTATTAGCAGGAAGTTATGCTATTCTGAATTGTAACTTCCAGAAGGTCAATATGAGATAATGTGTTTCTATTGTGTTCCTAATGACTGGAAAGAGAAATTGAGTGTAGGAAGAGACAGACCATAGCAGGTTCTTCTAATACAAATTTTGTGCAAGAGGTTTTTTATAGTTTGTGTATACACAGCAGAAACACCCTGAAGCTGAAAAGAGTGTTGTATCACGATATTTCTACAAATTCTCGTGCCTCATTTTGGATGATTTCCCTTTCTGCCATCCCTACCTGCCAAAGTAAGCCCTCTGTAAAATGATTTTCACTCTGGAGCCCTTCCTGATTCTAGAGTTTAAACCAAAATGGAAAATTCCTAAAAACTGCAATATGACATGAAAAACAGTGATCATTTATAAATTCAACCAGAACTATCAAGAGAAAAATACTCTCATGTTCAGGAAAAACTGTAACTGCACTGAGGATGTGTTGCAACTGCTCTGCTGCTTGTAGAGTCAGAACTGTTTCCAAGCACATATGCCCTTACAAAACCACACCAACCTCTTTGTGGACATGTGAGATAGCGGTAGCAAGTTCTAACCCATCTAGCAAATTATTGCCATCATAATCGTGCATTTTGAAGTAATGGAGCTGCAACTCTTGTGGAGACATCTCAGATTCTGGTTTCTCGATAACACCTTCCAGGTGTTCCATGATGTGTCTAAGAAAAACAAAACCCACAACATTTCCATCAGTTAATATTTAATGCTCTGTTTACAGCAAATTTAGTCTTTGATCAAATATTGCATGTCTAAAAGCACCCTGGACAACTAAAAGCTGCAGTCTGATATCAAGATAAAGGGGACACAAAGGTTGTTTGTTAGAGGGGCCTTAGAGGCCTCTAATGCCTTAGATAACTATTTCTATTTCTTCTGGCCTACTTAAGGCTATCAAAACAACTGAAGCAGAGCCCAAAATCTCTTTTTGGCTGTCTTCCAAGCACAGGAATTGGAGGAAGATCTTTCCCAGTCAACCATGAAGTGTTCTAAGAAGTTTTATTTGCTGCTAGAACTGCTCTGCATTTAAAAAGAAGCAAATGAGAAAATAAATTCTATCTGTTAGGAATATGATTTTGTCTAAAGTATGCTGATATGGGTAAGCAGGATTTCTGTAAGAAATATATAGCATAAAATATAGTATAAGTTGGGCTAAAGGCTCCAGAGAGAGCCTTTCTAGGTCTCGTATCTCTACAAATTTATCAAGCAAGCATGTCTCATATCTGGCTTTAGCTAATCGTACAACATTCTGAGAAAACAGGGTGCTCTAGGCTTAAGTCCAACTCGCATAACACTTTAGAGATAAGAAAATAATTAAGAAGTAAAGTTTACACTTTTAGAACATGGAAACGTACTCTTTATCTTGTACCAAATTCTTATCAAGGCGAATATTTGGATGTTGACTCTCTCCTGCGTGTTCCTCAGCTAGGGCAGAGATGAAGAATGCAGCCATAGCAAAGCAGAACAGCAAATGTGTTCTAAACATCTTTTGGGGCATTGTGATCTCCTGTAAAAAGGAAAACACCCCCCAGAAAAACAGATGAAAAATGTGAAAATATGATCTACTTTCAGCGGATTTAGACACCGCTAAACAACCCCATTAAGTTTCAGAATAGGAAAACTTGTTGCATTGGAAACTCTTGGCAAGCAGAGAACCAGAGTTCCAATTAGGAGTTTTTATGAGGGTCCCTATTTTACGGAATTATGCAGTAATTTTCAAATATTTTTTTTCCTCATAGCTAATGTGCACACCTTAGCCATGCCTGGGTGTTCATATACCTTCCAGACAAACAAGCAACCATGCCCTCTGCCTCAGGCAGACAGACCTGCCCCACAGCTATGGGAGCAAAGGTCGCTCACGGCATGGAAGCGGCTCCATCTAATGAGCAGCTCTGTTAGGTTGGATTCCCTGAGGGGCGCACAGCTGGGAAGCCGTCACGCAGCCGGGCATGTGCGCACTTCACGGGCAGGTGACAGGGCACGCAGCTTCACAGGGGCCGGCCGCGCTCCCGAGGGCAGCCACGGCGCGGGCCGGCGGCTTCCACTCCCGTTCTTCTCCCGGCCCCAGCTGCAGCTACCCCCGGCTGCACCAGCCCGGCGCTGCCCACCCGCCAGGCTCCCAGCCCCGGCTGGATCCCCGAGAAAGCGCCCCCGCAGCGGGATGGGGCTGGGCCCGCCGCCCAGGCCCCAGCACCTCCATTCCAGCAGCGGCTGTCGGGGCGGGCGGAGAGGCCTCGCCGCCGCCACACTACGTACCCTCAGGCGGGTCTCCGCCGTGCCGCGGGCTCCGGGCTGGGCGCGGGCTGGACACCATTCCCGGGACACCATCCCGGGATCACCCCTGACCCAGCACTGCCCCGCCCGCTCCGCCGCCCATTGGCCGCTCCGCTCGGCCCCGCCCTGCGGGCGACGTCATTGCTCCCGGAGCTCCACGTGGAGCCCTCGCGGCGGCGCAGGTGCGGTGAGGCCGCGCCCACCGCGGGGCGGGGCCGGGCCGGGCCGGGCCCAGGTGGGTGATCAGCTGTCCGTGAGCCAGCAGCGTGTCCTGCGGGGCTTTAGGAAGAGCACTGCCAGCAGGTCGGGGAGGTGATCCTGCTCCTCTACTCAGCCCTGGTGAGGCACATCTGGAGTGCTGTGTCCAGTTCTGGGCTCCTCAGTACAAGAGAGACGTAGATCTCCTGAGTGGGTCCAGTGGAGGGTAACAAAGATGATTAAGGGACTGGAACATCTCTCTTACCAGGGAAGGCTGAGGGAGTTGGGCCTGCTCAGATTCGAGAAGAGACAACTGAGAGGGGAGCTCATCACTGTATACAAACTTTGTATACAAGTTTATATATACCTATATATAGAGCACACAAGGGGTGGGGGGGGAGGGGGCAGGAGGATAAAGACAGGCTCTACTCAGTGGTGCTGAGGAAAATGACAAGAAGCAATAGGCAGAAACTAATGCACAGAAAATTCAACCTGAACATGACCAAGAACAACTTTGCTGTGTGGGTGACTGAGCACAGGAGCAGATTGTCCAGAGACATTGTGGAGTCTCCATCAATGAAGATATTCAGAAACTGCCTAGACACCATCCTGTGCCATGTGCTCTAGGATGACCCTGCTTGAGTAGGGGAGCTTAGACCAGATAACCCACTTGCAACCTGGCCCATTCTGGGCACTGTGGGGTCTCCACAACCCCGGCCTTTGATGCAGAGAGCTCCTTCCCAGAAGATGCATTGGAGGGATCCCACTGGTGATACCCTGGGCAGAACCTAGGACTGCAATGGTGGAGGTGGTGGCACTGAGGGCCAGCACGCGTCCCACTCCTAGGGCAGTCCCTGGCTGCCTCGGCTCTGGGTGCTTCCCTCCAACCCCATCCATGAAGGACCACCATGGTTCCTGCCCTGCTGCTCCAGTGGGAACTGCCGTACCCTCTCCCCAGTGCCCACTGCTGACCGTGCTCTGTGCTTCCCCTCACACCACGGGTCCCGCTGTTTCCATACTCGACACCTACACACCACAGCTTCGGCCTCTCGAGGTAACAGCCCTCAAGCAAACCCGGGCCCCGGGGCGGCTTTTGGCCCGTTCCTCACGCACCGCCCGCGGGTCTCGTGCGGAGGCTGCTGCTGGAGGGGGCCGGTGGCCATGGGGATCAACCGGTGGAGAGCCCCGGGCTTCGGGTGACTTCTGAGGGCGGCGGTGGGGGAATGGCACTCCCGGCCGGTCTCGCCCAGGAAGGGAACGAGGGGCCACACCCGCGGTGCCGGGACAGCGGCCGCTTGTGCAGGACGCGGCTCTGTGCCCGGGAGTCAGGCGAGAGGCGTCAGGGAGTGGCGGCCATGGCGGATACCCCGTCCCCGACCGCAGCCCTCGGGCAGGACGTCCCGGCCGCGGCCGGCCCCCAGCACCTGGCGGATCCACAGCCCCGGCCGCCGAGCTCGGGAGGCGCCGCCGGGGACTCCCCGCGGGCCGGGGCGGGGCGGGTCTCTCCCGGCGCTAAGATGGCGGCTAAGGCCTCGCACTCGCACGTGAAGCTGGAGGCGGAGATCGAGCGGTGCCGGGCGGAGGGGCACTGGGGGCGGCTCCGCGACCTCGCACAGCAGCTGCTGCCGCCGCGGCCCCCGCGCAAGGCGAAGGCGGCGAGGGGCGCGCAGGACGCGGGTAAGCGGCGGCGGGGGGCGGGCGGGGTGGCTGCCGGTACCGACCCGCCCGGGCGTGGGGCGGTGGCGGGGCCGGCTGCTCGCTCCCTGCCGCCGCCCGGTCTCGGCAGCCCCGCGCCGGTGGGCTGGCGTGGGCGGGAGCTGCGGCCGCCTCGGCTTGCGGGGCGTCGTTTGCCGTCCCGTGCCGGCATCCCGGCTCCGCAGCGCTCGGGAAGGAGGGATGCCTGGGAGAGGCGGCGGGAGCTCAGGAAGCGGCGCTCGGAAGGATCACTCTGCGCTTCCTTTCCGTGTCAGCGCTGCCGAGCCCGCGGGGCAGCGAGGGGCGGCTGCCGAGCGCTCGGGATCAGCGCCGGGCGCAGGTGGCGGCTGCCGGTTCCGAGCCCGCCCCGGGTGCCGCCGACGCGTTTGGGCTGCGGCCGAGCCGCCCCCGCTTGGAAAGGTTCAAATCAGCTTCTCGATACGTGCCATGCTGCTTCCCTCTTGCCCCCTGCCCAGCGCTCTTCTTGGGTGGGTGCCCTTCTGTTACCTCTTTCTGTTTCCGAGGGGCACTGCTTTACTGAAAGGCTTTCACATGTAAAGCAGGTTTCGTAAATAGCAAGTATATTAGTATTTTTTTCCCCTGTTACAACACACTGATTTGCTGCCCTTTTTTTTTTTAATAAAATCTTTTGTAACGAGGGAGGCAGCATAACTCAGTCTGAGGTCAGCAAGCAAGTTGTGAACAGGACCTGATTGTACCCGTGGTAGTGGTACAAAGGTTTCTGCCACTGAAATCAGAAGAGCTGCCTCTGGGAATGAACCCCTTCTTTAGGGGATCGTGACCAGAATATGGCCCTAGAGTTGAAGCTTTTTGGGGTGCCTTAAACTTCACAATGGGAACCGTGATGGGAATAATGTTTATTTTTGAGGCTTTCCTAGTGTTTACATGATACAGGTTGAACCCTGAGAATCATACAGCCAACCTTTGAACTTTAGTCAGGTTTCAGCTGTGTTTTCCCAGGTGCAGAGATCACCATGAGCTTTGGGGGCATTAGTAGTTGAAGAGTTCACAGTAGTTTCTTCCCTTGTAATTAAGAGGTATAACAACAGTATGATTGCTGTAAAAACATGATTTGTTAATTTGCTGCCATGTCATCATAACTTGGTAGTTACAAAAGAGTAATGCTTTGTTACTGCTATGGAACCTCTTTCAGCAGGTTTTGTGCTTCTAAAAATGATTGTGTGCTTGGATGGGATTTTTTTAACAGTAGTATTTGCATTGTGAGGTTGTGTATATTTATTTCTTAATTGTCTATGATCTTACCTAATTCCTTAAGTTTGATTATGGGATTAATGACTACCTGAAAGCACTTTGGTATGTAGAAATAACTGCATGCAAGTTCGGGGGGGAATATACTTGAACTCTTACACTTCTCTTTTTATGTACCTGTACTTTGTTTAGTTGCAGACCTGCAAACAAGCAGGAAGAGCTATGATTAGAATTTGGTATGTAGCTGAACATTTAGGCCACAACAACAAAAAAGTCTAAACCACCACACAGTTATTATGTGGTGTATGGGTAGAAAGTGGGCATAAGGTGTCTCCTGGACTGAAAATACAAAAATAGATACACTACTGTGTATCTATCATTCTCAAATTTCAGACTTCAAAACATGGAATATATATGAAATGTAGGGCTGGGCTTTTTGGTATTCAAAGATTTCCTTACCTGGCTTGACCCACTAGTCTGCTGATGGAGGTGCTGTTGTTATGAATGAAGGAACTGCAGAAATGGGCCTGTCATGTGAGAACTCTGAGTACTCTGGCTGATTAAACTTTTTTTTTTAGCATGATTGCCACATTCCATGATGCTTCATGCTGTATCCACTGCTGCTAACTGTGTTTGAGTGTCTCTTCTGTGGAACTGTGAACAGGGATGGATTTTAATGTAGAAAGAGTTTTACGTGGCATTTTAATTACAGCAAGGGGTCAGTCCTTGTGTGTCTTTAGTAATAGATGTGTAGAATCTATATAATTTATCTTTTAATTTTTTTTTGTATACTTTATGGAAAATTGTTAAAGTTTTTGATGCAGTTACTGCTATCACTTCTCTGTAGTCTAAAACATTCATATCATGCTAGTACCTTTGTAAATAAAAAGCATCCTTTGAAATGTTTGCAGACTTTTTGTTCTTATGCTTTTGAAAGTGAGTTTTGTGATGAAAATTCTTAACTATTACATTAGTGACAAAGTAAGAAGGAATGGTGCTGCCAAAATTAAGGGATTAAGGAGGGAAAATCTTCAAGTTACAACAGTGTTGTTTCATTTTTCCATACAAAACGTACTGTTTCCACTAGATAAAAGTTAATGGAACTTTTTTTTTTTTGTGTATGAGTTCTTCCTTATCCCCTCATTTGAGTTTATTGTCTGTCTCAAACGTGTGTTGTTTTGTTTTTGTAATTCTGTTTATCATCAGTATAGCAGTAAGCAATGTTTCTTATTGGTTGGTGTGTGCTTTCAGAGGACCATGGGAGTTTGCTGCTTGCAGAGGCTCTGCTGGAGGAATGTTTGAAAGAAAATTTTGCCAAACTGAAGGACTCCATTCCACTGTCAGAGAAGAGTGAGCCCAAACTGAGTGAAGCTAAACAGTATCTGACCAATATCTTAAGCAGAGGGAAACTAAGAGTAAGTGGGCTCTATCATCATAATTCCTGCCAACTGGATACTTCTTTGCTATGATTATTAGTCTGATATAAGGTGTAGGTGTTGTCTGCTCATGTCCATGGATATACAGTGCTGTATTGTAGGTGATACTGAGAGACTGGTAATTCCCCTAGGCAGGGTTTTATGTTGCGAGACTTGCTTTTCCATATGCAAAGAAATTGTGTGCTACAAGGACATATCCTCTTTATTTATTTTTTTTAATTGGAAGGAAGCAGGATAAATACTTAAATTGCTCTCGAGTGCTGGGTTGTGGCACATAAGGGTGCTGTCAGGCCAGCGCAGTAGAGTGACCTCCTGCTGCTCCAGATCTGAGGGAATTTTGCACAACTGGTAGCTCCTGATTGGAGAAAAATGTGACACAAGCTGCTGTCAGGAACTTAGGGTTGTGTTGGGAGGGCTGCAGCCTTGCACTGCCTTTGGTGTCTATTAGAGAAGTAATGCTTTTATTTTGTTGTATGATCTGGATATGTGGCCAGTAGCTGCTTGTCTGCTCAGTTGCAGAGCTTCAGGAGGGTTTTAATACTCTGCTTTGATGGTTGCTGCTGCATTGGTGTCCTTTGACACACAGTTGCATAACTGTGTTTAGATGTAAGTGAATTACAACAGTCTGCTCTAGACTCCTTTTACTTTTGGTCCTGAAATTGCCAGGCTAGTTTAGTTAAGTTGGAAACGTATATTATACTTTCACCATGTTAATTTCCAATGAGCAAGGGCAGCCTACTTAGAGCATAAAATGGAGAGAGTAAGGGGGGGGGGGGAAATCTGTCCAACCCTCTTTATAGTTTAACCCCATTAACAGTCAGAACTACTGAATTCTTCCAGTTCCTTGTGTTTAGTTTGGCTGCATGAATTGGCATTACTGTTTCTTAGCTAGTGGTGACTTAGCTACTGATGCAGTATTGACCCTGATTGCATGTATTAAAAAATGGATATGAAGGCTTAGGAACCTTGTCATGATTTCCAGAGGGCCTGAACAGATGTGTTTTACTGAGGTTCTGTTACATTTGTTTTCAATCCTTAAACAAAATGAATCTTAGAAATAGCAGGTGTGCCTTCTGTTTTTTCACTGTTGTGTGAAAATTCTTTGATGACTACAGAAAATTTGTGAATTTTCTGACTCTTTATTTAAATATACAGAGGCAAGGGGAGCATTTATCTAAAAAGTGATGTTTACTGCCCAGTTTAAATGCAGGGGGTTTTCTTAGTGTGTGTAGGTAATTCTGACAGTGCCAGCATTTTATGTGCTCTTTGTGGCTGGTGAATCGATAGAGCAGGTCAGCTGAGACCAAAGAGTTGGCTTACAAACTGTATTTCAAATCTGAGCTCCAAAGTGGTTGCCTGACCTTCATTGGCTCCTGCTCTCATGAGGTTAGCCTTTGCAGTTGTGAGAGGAAAGCATTCTGAACCTTCCTAATTTGCTGTGGAACTTCATTCTTCCTATCTGGTATTTCACTCTGCGAACACTTTTTCTCTCTCTCCTCCATTTCAGCCGAAGTACATGACAGAAGCTATGCTGATCCTAGGAAAGCTGCATTATGTGGAGGGATGCTACAGAGATGCCATCAGCATGTATGCAAAAGCAGGAATTGATGACCTTTCAACCAAAGAGGAACCTCTGTACATGCTGCGTTTGATAACTGAAGCCTTTGTTATTAAAGGTAAAGGACCACGTGTGTATATTTGAAATATGCTGGTTTTAGGTTGAAGCTATTTCTCCAAGTGGTTTGGTTGGAGCAGGATTAGGGCAAAGATGTACGCTGTAGAAGATCCTACATGGTATGGTCTGTGTAGTTTCAGTTATGGAGTCTTAGTCCATGGTTTTTAAACTTGACTGGCTTGTAAAGAAAAGCTTGAAATTGGAAATCTTGTGGTAACTCTTGGCTGTAAGTCAGCGACATGCTTGAACTTGTGTGTCCATTTTGGGAAAATCTAAATCAAGAATCAAGCTCTTGGCTGAATTGGGACCTATGCTTTGGGTTAGAAAGAGTTCATCTACTTGTACATTTCAGTGATTTCTGTGAATTTAACAACAACAATGTCTCCAAGTTTTAAACTTTGGACTAACAGAATATGTGCTTTCAAAGCAGGTAGTATATTTTTGCAATGCATGTCACACAGTATCAGATCTTATGTACAAACAGGAATCTCTCCTCCCCCTTGTAACTCTGTAGACATTGCACTGTTTGAGAGATTCTAATTAAAACTACCTCTGTGGGTAGTGAAATTGCATTTCCTTTTTGAGTGGGGGAAAGACCCTTGTCAGTTTTTGACTTGGGTGGAGAAAAAGATCAGTAATCTTCTCCTTCATTTGCTTTCGGTTCCTTTATAAATGTTGCTTAAGTACTGCTACCTATCTACTGCTTTCTACTCTTTTCAGCATGTCCACCAGCTAATTAGGTGAATGAGAGCTCTGATGATCAGATACCTTCAACTGGTATGTAAAAGAGTGAAACCAAATCAACCCAAAATACTGTTTGACTGGGCTGCTAGTATTACTGATAATAATTTGAGTCATTCTGCTTTTTTTGAAACCCTGTTTGTGCTGCTTTGCTTGCTTTGATTTTTGTTTCCTGTGGTACTGATCGAATCTGCTTCATTAATGAGCTTTTGTGGAGCAGGACTAATTTACTTGTGCCTCACACTGACACTTGCATGGCTCAGAGGAGCGGGTACTTGCCAGTACATTCTCAGCAGTGTATTTGAGAGCAACTCCTGGTGCACTCCAGAGTGTGAAGGAGATGCACTGACCCTCTTGGGAACCAGGTATGACCCTTGGTGAGGTGTGAGTGTAATGATAATGTGTGTGTGGAAACTGATGGAATAACCCTGTTGTTATAAGACCCTTTCTATTGTGTAGACTACTGACTTACATCTGAAGATGTTGGAGGCATTTGCCTCAGAGTGTCAGGCAATGTTTTTGGTGTCTTTCCCCGTGTGGTTTAACATGGAATGTAAATACTGTGTTCCCGTGTAAACCAAATGGAGTCTCTGTCATTGCAGAGAAACCTCTGTGCTGTTATGGTTGCACAGTCTTTATACTCCATGATGATTATTCTCATATTACTAAGATATCAAGAGTGTAGTAAATCACTCAGTGTTCTACCAAAGTTGGTGACATAAAGCAGTCCAGCAGAGTGGATCTTGTCCAGCTGAGTTTGGAGAAGGCACTTGCTGCTAGGATCACTGTTCCCTTATGCCATGTTCCCTCAGCCACTCTTAGGTTAGCACTTTGTGCAGGTAGCTATGGCAATAGCAGTGTAGATTTAAATTTTCATTTTAAAACGCGTGTCCAGGCTGCTTCTGCAGGGCAAGTAACAATATGGAGTTGAATTATTTAAAGATTATTGATACTTTATGCCACAGATTTTTCTTATTCCCCTTTTTAATTTGGTTTCTCTCCAGAAATTATGTTCATTCATACTAGATTACTGTCTTTGGTTGAACTACTGGTTGTTTATGCAATCTGAAGCCTTGAATGTTGCTGGTAGTAAAATTTTTGCAGGGGCCATTTAGGCTAATATCCAAAAAAGCCACAGTCCTGTCTATTTCAAGGCAGGAGTTAGGTTCCTCAGTCAATTTCTTGTTCACATTTTCAGAAAGGGGAGAAAGCTGTTGGTTTACTAGAATACCCCTGTTCATCCAGCATTAGTTAAAAGCAGCAGCACTTCGTATCACCTCATAGCATGAAATTGCAACTGCCTCAGTTTTGTGTAGGTAATACTGCTGAGTAATACCTGTATGCAGAATGGCAGCATAGGTTCTCAAGCACTCAGGATTAGGCTGAAAAGGTCATGGAACAAGGAACAGTCATATAAAAGGCTTATTTTTTCTAATGTTAACACCTATCCTTTTAATGTTGGGAATTAACAAAAATGTAACAAGAAACATGGGGTACAGTGGGAGGAGTTGCACAGATAAAACCAATTGTAGAAATCCAGCAAAAGCAAGTTTCCTTCCTTAGAACAACTTCTAACCTCTGCAACACTGAAGGTGGATGTTGAACTGAATCTCTGGAGGCCTACAGCATGTAGTGGGTTCTTTATATTATGGTAAGAGGCAGTATTGATTTGTACCCTTATGTTTGGATTGAAGAAGTTGAGCAGGGAAAAGATTTCTTGCTTGCCTTCTCACTGAACTTCCACACAAGGCAAGTTTCAAGAAGTAAACTTCAAGTTCTTTATCAGTATGAGGGCCTGTGCAATTGACAAGTCACAGGAAAAATGGGAGAGAGCAAGATTCTCCAGTGTCTCATCTGACTGCTGCTTCCTGTTCTGTTTCTAAATCCCTGCATTGTGAGGAGGCAAGTTTTGTGGGCGCTGTGAGTGGAGCTCTGACAATTGTTTGATTTTTTCATTATGACTAATTTTAACCTCTCTGGTTAGTTAATAGGTGGTTGGTTTGTACTTGTCTCCTTCCTTCCCATCCTCCATGAAGTCAATCCCTCCTTAAAATTTTACTTCTGCTCAGCTCATATTACTGGTGGTAATCTCTGATGCAAGCAGCTCTGTGTTGCATAAAACAATATTGAGTAAGCAAACTTTTCTTCTAATTCAGTTGGGATATACTGTGGCTTTGTTACCCAGTGGTGTCCATTTGAAATAGCAAGCAAAAAAGACTTCAGAACAAACTGTGTAGCTGTTAGAGCCCACTGGTTTCCCTCTGTTTGTGCTTGCTGCAGAAACTCTGCAGATATCTCTCCCTTTGAAAGGAGTAAATCTTCCTGGTACTAGGTTAGGCTACTTCCTAACCCCTACAAAGCACTGTGTAGCTCTAGCCAGGGCTTCAGCATACCTGAGCTCCAAGAAAGAAGCTTCTGTGATGATGTGGCAATGTTTGCTGTGCTGCTGAGAGCAGGAGGAGAGCTGCTTCACCCGAGGCAGTCTATTGCCAGCCTGGGTGGTGGAGAGTCGGGCAGGGCTCATGAAATGTGTGGGTCCTGTTTTGTAATGACTGAGAGGGGCTTTAGCTTGTGCTCAGGGGTGTGTCAGAGCTGCTGCAGTTAGCCCTGTGCTGAGGGGCTCCCTGTGTCTGTCAGGCCAGGCTCTGGACTTCTTCCACCTGAGTGGGGTAGCCTGGAGAAAGCTACCTGTCTGTATATGTGCAGCAATGCCATAGGATTGCACATGGTATCTAGTTTCTAAATGGATTTCTAGGGAGTTCAAGCTTTAGAAGTCCCACTGCCTGTTTTTCTCCTTTTCTGACAGTCCATCCTGTAATTTTTGTAATTTAGTTATTTTTGTGTTCTTATTGGCCATTTGGCATCTCAGGGTGGGTTTAATTTGTGCAGTTTCAGTCTGAACTCTCTGTAGAGTCAGAAGTTGGCTGTCTTGGGGTGATTCATCACTTCTTCAAATGGCATCTGGCAGTTGATGTGAATGGTGGTGTACATAGAGCCTCTTCTCTGGTGACTGTGAGAGAAGACTGCAGACCAAATCGAGATTTATTCCTTGTAATTTTGTTTCTAAGTGGTTTTGTTCTTTAGTTTATGGGTTTTTTTAACTTTAGAAAAGACATTCATTTTATCAAAAGGCTGCAGTGTGAGCTTGTCTTTTCAGATCTTTGGAAAGGTGTGGAAGAGAACAATGTGGTACTGTGCCTGTAAGGAGCCTTGGTGTAGTCTGCATTTTATTGTAACAAATCCAACCACAAGTCATATCTACAAGGAAATGAGACTCTGTTAGTGGTTCAGAGCTATCTGTATTTTATCCTTGGACCCATTTTAGTCATTTAAACATGTTTAAGATCTGTGGTGTGACACATTTGAGAAACCAGAGATAAAATCTTGAAACAAACATTGCTGGATTGACCCACTGAGCTTTAGAGCTCTGCTAAGATCTGTGAGTGATATTTTTCAAAGTAAAACCTCAAAGCTACCACGTAGGGGTTTTTCCTGAGTTTGATAATGATAAAAAGACTGGAACCTACTTCCAGCATCCTGAGTTCAGCACATCTTGTTTTGGATTATTTTTGTTCTGTCTTAGAATAAATTGCTGAGTTTATGTGTGTTCCTGTTTCTCTTGTAGTTGTATCTTTTAAGAATTCAGTGGTAATGAGGTCTGTATACTTTGAATTATATTGTTCTGCTTTCTGCCCATGTGAAATGATTGTCTTGGGTTTCCAGTACTGGAAGTGGTTGTTTGGAGATTCTGGTGGTGTTCTGAAAGGAGAATGGCGATATCACACAGAGATAAACAGAAAACCTGACCTTTTACTCAGCAGGTTTGAAAACTGTTTGCTTGGTTTTAATCATGGTTTTAAATTGACCAAGTGAAGCCTCAAAATTTGAATAAATTGTTTTAAACTTCTTAGTCATTCTTCTCTTAATTAGTTTCTCATTTTGTTGGCTTGTACTAGTGTTAAAAACAGTAGGTTTGCATACAGTAAATGCAAGCTTGGTATTAAAGTTGTTCACTCTAGCTAATCAGAGGATCTATCATGCACTTGTTTATATACTTAATTGGAGTCATTAATTTTGACATTTGCTTGTGTGTCATCCATTTTTCTAATATGCTTTTCTACATGATGAATAATTTCCTAGGTGAGATTTGTATTGAGTTGCTAATTTTTGGTTTGAAAATGAGAATAAAATGTAGAGTTAAAGACAGCTTTATTACAAAACTATGTTCTGGTAAATCTACTTTTTCCTCCTCTCTAAAGA